TCAATCGCGACGTGTCAATCGCGCTGTGGGTGTTTTCGTGGATGGTCTCAATCGCGACGCGTCAGTCGCGAGACTTCGTGGTTCTAAGGTCGCCCCTTTCAGGCGTGGTGGCTGGGCCGCGTACAAGATAGACAGCGGCGCAACCAAAAAGGAAGGCACAAACTATCACGGGGCGAATCTAGGGTGCGGGCAATAACGTAGTTGTGCCTTAAGGAGGATGGAAGAGGAAGCTATCTAGACTACCGCTTTATGGTGCGCTAATGGTCTGTGCTCACGTGAGTGTCTTAGACAAAGTCGCGATGGTGCTGTGACACCCAGCACGGCAGCATCATCCTGATCCCCCGCGAAGGCGACCAGCTTGTGCGCTTCTACGTCGAGCTGCCCCCTTCTGCCACACAACCTTTGGATCTCGAGCACCTGACGCAGCGAGTCTCCCAAGTTTTCCAGCCGTACCAGATGCAAATCGTCGACACGGCCTGGTGGTCCACGTATTCCATCGGCCAGCGCCTCGCCGACCACTTCCACGACAGCATGCGCGTCTTCCTGACCGGCGATGCCTGCCACACGCACTCGCCCAAGGCGGGCCAGGGCATGAACGTCAGCCTTCAGGATGGGTACAATATCGGCTGGAAGCTGGGACAAGTGTTGACTGGCCGCGCGCCGGAGAGCCTACTTGAGACGTATATCCTGGAGAGGAAGGATACGGCGACTAAGCTGATTGAGTTTGATCGAGGCTTTGCCAAGCTTGTATCGTCTTCGTCTTCGTCTACCTCGCACGAAGATCAAGTAGCTACCAATGGGGACCAGAAGACCACGACCACGCCAGCTGAGCGCTTTCGGGAGCAGTTCTTGGCTGCCGGCCGCTACACTGCTGGGCTGGCTACGAGATATCCTGCCTCGTGCATCACGCGCTCACGAGCACCAGGATCGGTAGGGTTTGTATGCGATGAGGCCAAGGGCATCACCATCGGCATGCGTTTTCCGTGCGCCGCTGTCCTGCGCCTCTCCGATGGCAAACCCATGCAACTGAGCCAAGCACTGCCTTCTGATGGGCGCTGGCACGTGGTGGTGTTTTCTCGACGGGATATTTGGCCCCACGGCTTACACGTGGTTTGTACTCTTCCAACTTAAGGTATACATTATGCAGAGGCTAACTGATATCGACTAGATCGCTGCTAAACTTGCTACCGCTTTCCAGGGCTACGAGCCAGCCGGCTCCGACGAGGACTCGTTTATCAATACTGTGTTGGTCCTCTCGAAAATGCCTGCAGCACATTCTGCGCCGCTAAATCTGCCGGCACTTTTTTGCCCTCTTCAAGGCAAGCTGAAGTTAAAAAGTATGACAAAATACAGCACATTGCATGCTTCATTTTTCAATAAGCTAATTCTTGCTTAGGTCACACCAAGGTATTCGTAGATGCGGAGAACCGCCACGCAGCTGGCTGGGGACACGCTTTCGACTTGTATGGCATTGCGGCAACCAGCAGCATTATTGTCATTGTTCGACCAGACTTGTGTAAGTTAAAAGACATTACGGTTTAATGAATTGGGCTAATTATGATTAAGACGTCGCTGAAGTTTGCGACTTGAACGACTCTGCTCGCGTGGTGGACTTTTTCGGGGGGTGCCTGCTTCCAGCAACAAAATAGCCACCAGGGTGGCTGATTTCAAGCGCGTATTTACAGATGAGCAGTGGATTAAGTTATTATCAAGCTATAGCATAAACTATCAACTGCACACCAATGCCTCTTCTCATTAATGCGTTGAGTTGAGACAGTATACTACCCGGCACAAGTGCTCAGCTGATGATATCGTCGCTAAACGCAATGCCCGATCCCAGCGAGTTGAACAGCGTCTCAATCATATCCGTATCGATCGTTTCAGCAAAAATATCGTCCATGCTTGTAAACCTGTCCGAATTCATGCCCATTTCACTAGCCTCAGTCGTAGCGTCTACTGGGTGACTGGTGGCAGGAACATTGTCGATATCCAAGGTAGTAGCTATACAAGGTGTTAGATATCATAAGCAGTAGAGCATTGGCTAACAAACCTTGGCTGCGTGTCACCATGCCGTCGTAGAGCCGCCGCAGCAACTGAAGCGACTTCTGGACAGACAGGCTTGTTGTCGAGATGCTCTCAAGGATAGTCTGGCATTGTTGCCACGACTGTTCCACGGCGCCGGCGTCGAGCAGGATGCGCACTGGAGGGCAAGAAAGTGCAAGTATAAACACGAAGCCGCAAGTGAAAGAGTCTGATTGAGGGCGTAAGTGAGTGAACCTGACCCTCCATGTTGCACAGCTGGTCACTTACAGAGCGCGTTCCACCACCAAGATGTAGTGTGCTGCGTCAGGAAGCTTTCATGAGTCAAGGAAATGAGCTTCATAGAATACGTGACGCAATGCTTGCAGCACTCTGACGCGAATGAGGAGTGGATGAGGCTGGAAGAACCGCGACTCGGGAGCGGCGATGAAGCGCCCGAACGGTTCTGTGGCGGCCGGGTTGTCGCATGATGCACAGAGGACCAAAATCGAGACAGCAAAGGGCGGTAAAGCATCAGCCGCACGTACAAAAATCTGATGGAAGACTGCCAGTTAACGTCCATATACTCAGTGAGAGATACTGGAGTTATGCTCACCGTCCATGAAGAACGTTCTTCTGCATTTGGAAATGGGAGCGCGCATGACTGGCGGTTGGCTGAGACCTGGCCTTGTCATATTCCCTTGTCCAGCTTAGGAAGTGCGGAAGAGATTGTTCAAAGCGAGAGAGGTGCGCGTCCAATTCGATGGTCGAATCAAGTCTGCCATAATGCCAATCGCTGCATCTAGCCATACCGTAGCGGAAGTCTCGCTGATGCTTGTCTCGCCAGGGCTGATATATCGTGCGCAGAATCGCTTCCAGAATCTGGCTAAGACGAAACGTTTCCACGAAGAAACATACATCGTCATCCTCAGTTGAGCACTCAAAGTCGTCATTGTCGTGAAACCTAAGGAATGATGTTGCAGACCTGACGTCAGGAATGGTGGAGGTCATGGGTGGTCTGCCAAAGGTCATGCTAACGTTCCTATTTGACTCATGTTAGTGGGCAAAGACTCAGTGTCGCCAGTATGTGTTAATGGCCAAACAAAGTCACTTACATATCGAGAATCACACAACAATACCACGTCCTCCTTCTCACCTCTGCCTCCAGCGAGCCGTCCTTGCCATCATTATCATCGATGTGCAGCCCTAACCCTTGGGCAAGCCTGCAGGCGATACCAACACTGTTCCAACAGCGGTCAGGAAACGCAGTGCTCTGGAGATATAGCGATACAATGAGCAGCGCCTGCACAACGCTAAGACTGTTATGCTCAATGAGTCCGATGCCAACGAATGTCTTGGTCTTTTGAAAGAACATGTCCGACGTGGGCTCCCTATCCGCAGGAGGAAGGTCGGAGAAGTGGCAAGCCAAGGCGAACATGGCGTTGAGGGCGCAGTGGAACACCATGGTGTCTGTGCCGCAGTTCAAGGAATTCCCCAGCCCAACATCCCGAGGGCTTGTCGCGCTTGCAGGGGAGGCCGACTCTGCTACCCAGAGCTTGCCATAAGCAGCTTCAAAGGTGGCCCTATCAAAAAAGGGATACAGATGATATACTCTTTCGAAAAAGGAGCTGATCAAATGATCTGCCAAAGACCGCGGCGGCAACGACAAGGAATACGCAGCTTGTCCATTGCGACGGAATGTTGCTGCTTGCCGCTGTTGCGACACTGGTCTAGCAAGATGACCTCCAAGATCACTGGTATTGTTCTGGTCAGGCATTCCAGAAGCGGGAGACCGGCCAAGGCTCTTGCAGGCCTCTCTGATAAATGCCGCTGCCGAGGAGGTGCCGTAAAAGGTATGATCCTCGGCGCCTGGTTTGTCTGTCAGACCGGCCTCGGATACGACGGTTCCCATTGCCGTCACCTCTGCCACCTCGTGTGGCTGCTCGTATGGCGTAAGAGGCTGTCGGAGGTGGATTCCGTCCAACTCTCGACGCTGCCCTGCTGGCGGCGGGCTGTGTGCCGACGGCCCAGTAGGGAAACTGGAAGAGTGGCGGTAAATCTCATTCCGCTGACTGCTGCAAGTATGGCGATGCTGACCGCCGTCGAACGAGTCTGTAGCGGCGGGAGCAAAGGCCGACAGGCGGCGGGTTGGCGGGGTTGATGATAGTAGAGGCTCGTGTATGCTCTGGGTACCGCTGTTGTTTCGGATAATATCTTCCAGCTCTTTGACGCGATCCTGCAAGGCTATTATAGATCTAGAGACAGTGTTAGAAACCTCGCAGCTCACTTACTGCCTGTACTTACGAAGCCTGGGCGTCGTTGGTAGCATCATCCCTATACACGCACACCTCCCGCGCAAGCCCACGCTGCTGACATCGCGTGCACATTGGCCTGGCACCATCGCAGCGCGACTTGCGGTTGCGGCACGGCTGGCAGGCAAGAGGGATCTTTGCGCGCGGGCGACGGCTGTTGCGTCGGGAGCTTCCGCCTCGGCTGGGCGACATGTCTGCTGGTTGTGGATCCATCGTTGCATCGAGCGCAAGTACACTATTTTTGTCGGGACAGTTGCTATTGCTTCGGAATGATTGCGAAACTATGTATAAATTGCCCAAGTACTGTATGGTTCCCCTCTGAGTGGTGGTTCATCGGACGTCGGAGCCAGTAAATTCGCCGTCGGAGTAGGTTCCGACGTTCCGGCTTGTCCGATCAGAGCGGAGGCAGCGTGCGGGGTGGCCGGCCAGCGGAAGCGAAACAGGGTTAGGGTTGATGATGGTTAGCGACACGGCTGTCGGACGCTGCCCGACGCTGCCTATTATGGGAATAGACTGGTGCACCCAAGGGCCAGCGGGAGCGATTCCGACTTCATGTTCCGCTTCATTGATTCACTCAATCTGCTTGAGATACATTCTCGAGAAAAGGGCGTGCTTATTTGCAGCATTTTCGTTGCTTAAAGGCAAATTTTGCGGTCCGTTACCAGGCCAAGCTTCTATTCCTAGATACTAGCTGTATACCTGTTAACTTCTCGAAGCCAATAATTCCTCAACATGCTTGCCCAGACGGTCGAGCTACTAGCCAGCTGGAAAGCGCTACATCCAGCGCTGTGGACCACGATTGTTACCACAGCTGGCATTGCTGCGCTGCTCACATTGCTGGCCTCGTACTTGAGGCCTACCGGAAAGCGAAGAGGCACGTCTGGCAGGAAGTCGAAGCTGCCGCCTGGTCCACGCGGGTTGCCTATTATAGGGTCTATGCACAAGCTGGCAACGGCTAGGCATGATCCGGATCATACATACGTAAGTTTCTTCATCATCCTAATAGCTATCTATGGTAATGGGTGATAGCTACGATCGTTGGCCAACTATGGAGAAATGGCCACAGTCCACATCGGCGCCAAAACGTGGATCTTCCTCAACAGCCACCGTGTCGTCTCCGAAATCATAGCCAAGCGCGGCAGCGCCACCAGCACGCGATCTCCCATGCCCATCGCCAGCGGCATCGTCAGCAAAGACGGCCGTTCGCTCGTCCTGCCGCAAGAGCAGTGGACGGAACGCCGCCGCGTCATGCACAGTCTTCTCAACGGCAGTTCACTAAAGCAGTACGGCGAGTGGCAGGAACTGGAAAGCACGCAGATGATGGCCGAGTACCTCTTCAAACCGCAACTCTGGTACAAGCACCACTACCGGTACGCCAACTCGGTGATCCACCGCATCGCTCTCGGCGAGCGCCTTAACAAATCGACGCAGGAGCTGGCAGATCTGCAAAACTGCGTCACGTTCTTCGTGGGAAGCATCGGCGCCAGCGTCGTCGATTGGTTCCCGCAGCTGACAAACCTGCCGAGGCCGTTGCAGCTCTGGAGACCGCACTGGCAGAAGCTGGCCGACTGGAACCACGGCGTCTACAGTAAGTGGTGGGTGCCTGTGCGGGAGCAGGTGAAAGATGGGACTGCGCCGCCGTCATTTGCGCGCGATGTGCTTCTACATGAAGACACGAAGTTCAAAGGGAGCGACGATGATGCGATGTATGTGGCTATGCAGCTCATCGAGGCAGGAAGTGATACCACGCGCGAGGCGCTCAACATCATGGTCATGGCTGCACTAGAATATCCCGAGCCGTTCCGCAAGGCAAGGGATGAGGTTGACCGCGTCTGCGGCACGGGGGATGACGCACGTCTGCCTCAGTTATCGGATATGGACAGCTTGCGGTACATCTGCGCCATGGCCAAGGAGGTGCTGCGCTGGAGACCGATCTTCATCCTGACGCCGGAGCACACTTCGACGCAGGATATTGAGTTTGAGGGATACTACTTCCCAGCGGGCACTGGATTCGTCATCAACGAGGTGCCTGTTGGCAATGAGTGTGAGTATCCGGAGGTCTTCTACCCAGAGAGGTGGATCGACGGCAAGGAGACGGACATTGCGCATGGACTGTGGCAGTTTGGTGGAGGGCGTCGCATCTGTGTCGGCTATCGTCTGGCACAGAGGAGCTTGTTTTTGAATATGGCAAGGCTCGTCCAGTGTATCGACTACAAGCCGGTGAGTTACATCCAGTGTAAGCTACTGAGTGAGTGCGTCGCTAATGACAGTGTTCTAGTATGGGCCCTATAATGCGAAATGCCTGCAGCTGGAGTCACTTGACGAGCCGTTTCCTGTCACGGCTTCGTTCAGGGGTAAGAAGTATGAGGATATGGTGAAGCGCGAGGCTACTAGGCTGGACGTACTTGAAGATGCCAAGCTCGATCGCCAGTAAGGCTACGCCTACGGATGTACACCAGAAAAAATAGATTGTTGGAAATTAAGAGGAATGCTATTCGTAGAGCTAACTTTTGCTGGTTGTAGAGCCCCCCTATATATATATTTTTTTTTTTTCTCGCCGCGCCCTCCCCCATGCTGCCCTAGTGATTTTTACTGCGCACAGCGCAGGCATGGGACAGCAGCGGCGCGCTGCATATTGCTGCCGTTGCTTTCGTTGCTTTCGTTGCTTTCGTTGCTTTCGTTGCTTTCGTTGCTTTCGTTGCTTTCGTTGCTGTCGCTGCCGTCGCTGCTTTTGCCAAATAGCACTACTCTTGAATAAATTTCTTTACATCATATAACTCAAAGGAACATCGAGTCCCTAAATTGGTGAAACAGTTTAGTTGTAGGTACTATTAGGCTTATCGCTTCAGCCATTTAATCATTGCATTTGTTGCCTCTCCCGGGCTCCTTAGCATGCCCTCTAGTAGAATGAAGTCATGCGCCTGCTTCTCGAAAATGTCAAGCTGCACGTCCAGCTTGGGCGCGAGTCGCTCAGCCTCCACCGCCATAGCAACGATTTGGTCACGCAGCACCTCATACTGGCCCGCGGATACGTAGAGACGGGCTATAACTTCAGGCAGGCGACCTAAAAAAGAGACGTCATCCTTGTCAAACGGGAAAGCACCCTCTCGCTCTTCCACTGTGGCACGCCTCGGCGATTCAGCAGCCTCGCCCAGGATGGCATGTACAGAAGTCTGCACGATACTGGCCGAGAGCATGTCGATGCCGTGACTCTCGCGAAACGACGCGTCGTTTGTCTTCATACTAAGCCACGGTGAGACCATAAACGCGGCCTGAAGCGGTTCGGCTAGCGTGACAGCGGGCACCCTTGGGTGCGGATCGATGAGGTGAGAGAGCAACTGCATCGTCAAGTTACCGCCTGCTGAGTCGCCTCCAAAGATTATATTGCGCGGAAGCACTCCCGTAGACAGGATGTGTGTAAGGCCAGACGCTGCTTGCGTGAGTTGAACTGGGAATGCTGCGCTAGGGCAGAGCGTGTACTCCAGGATGGCGACTGCTGTCTCCACGTCCGTTTCCGATTCGGTAGTCACAAAGACCTCCCAGCACCATTCCAAATGTCCTGGTGATAGTGGAGAGAGGTATCCTCCTCCGTGGAGGAACAGCACGACGCGCTTGGCAGTTTGTCTGTTGCCGAGCCACAGCAATGCAGAGCCGTCGTCATCCAAAACCTCGATGTCAATGCTGCAACGTGTCGCGCGCTCACTTTTTGTAGATTTCGCCAGCTTGGACTGTTTCTGCTGGACCCATGACTGGTATGTCGCTCTGGTTGGCTTGCTGAGATATTGGATCTGGCGTGCCTGTAGGGTATCGAGAACCATGCGGAATACCGCGCTGGTCAAGAAGAGCCCCAGTGGCAGGCGGTGTGTCAGTGCATTGAAAAGGGTCTTGGAGAGTTCAATGGTCAGACGGAGAGGCACTGGAAGCACTTTGTAAGTATTAAAATGCGGAATGGTGGGAGAACAGGAGCGTTGTCTTACCTATGCAAAGCAACTGTACCACAAGCAAGGCCCGTTCGTAAACAGTACGACGAGAGCTAAATGAATACGCCATATTTTGCTTTACTTTAGAACAAGTCGTAAATGAGTGATTCGCATACAGTAACAGCACCAAAAGTTCTAGTCGTAGTTTTCCTTTGGTCGTTCGTTGTAACGGTCTCAACTCAGTGTATTGACAACTAGCTGAGCGACTGCAACGAGTATC